TTTGTTTGGTGCCATAGAAGCACTTTTCACATTTGTTGTATTTCAACTTTCAAGCCTATTCCAGCTCATTAAGTCAACAGAAGATTGTTATGCATATGTGACACATTATGATAGATAATTCCGGCTATGTTCTATGGTTTTGAGTATTCTTCTTGCTTCCCTACTAGGTGATGACGTGAAGGAAAAGAAGCCTGATCCATTAATATATCAGACAGCTTCTAAGGTAGTTAAATTAGAATATAGGTGATTAAAATATGCATTTAAGGGTTTAAGCAAGATTATTTTTTATATTTCTTTATTCTAGTTCTCTTCTAGCTATCCATCATGATTTGATCTTGAACCCTCTCTTATTGCAGCAACTAGGTGTTTCAGAGAAAGATTGTTTAGTGGTGGAGGATAGCGTGATTGGGCTACAGGTTGGGTATTTGTTTCCTGATAATTAAATAATTTGGTAATATTAGACAAAGATTTTGTTTTAACTCTTGGAGAGAACTGAACTCCTTTTCAATTTTACCAAATTTTCTCAGATTCAGAAATAAACTGATAAAGAAACAGTATAGGATTCATATTATTAGACAACGCTCATTTCTATTGATTATGCATTTGCTGTTTGTCACTAAAGCAAGGTTCATTAACCATTGCTAAAATCTAAATCAAATTTGTTTGCCTCTCTACTCTTCTTCCAACAAATTATCTTTGACTATGAAATTGTTATCAAGGCATTTTTCATTTGGTGACAAAGTTCAAGCTTTCGAACTTTTCTTTTGATTATTGCATACTGAAATAAGTTAACTGAATGGCTTAAAAGTCTAACCTTATCAATCCACAATTATAGGCAGCAACAAGAGCTGGGATGTCATGTGTGATTAGTTATACACCTTCAACAGCTGAACAGGTGAGGGTTTTTGATCCCTCTGTAGTCGTCTCAGTAAACATTTATTTCTGATACTTACTGAATGTTTATTACTAGATATTTGCTCTCTGAGACGTCTGACATATCTTCTAATTTCAATTCAGGATTTTACGGATGCCATAGCAATCTATCCTGATTTGAGTAACGTGAGGTATGCAACCATTTATTTTCTTTTGGTAGGTGTATGGAATTGTCTTCTTTTGACCAGCAATTTCTCTGTTGGTTTATTACTATTGTTCTTATCATCTATGCAGATTGAAAGACTTGGAGCTATTACTTCAAAATGTTGTTGCTGCCAGTTAAGAGTACAACATATTCCTTGGAATTCACAGCAAGAGCTGATTTTAGATGTTATTGAATTTCAACTGTT